CAAATCTGCTATCAGCACTGCTGAGACACACGTGCAGACACAGTGGAAAGGTAGCCAGCCTTTCACTCTTCTGGCAAGAAGTCAACAAAAGACAGAGACTTGACATAATTATGAAATATACATTGATGTTGCCATTTGAGATAAAAACCAATGAGATACAGTTCATTTCTAAATCCAAGGGGCCTCTGAATGATGTTACAAAAATGTATAGGGAAACATAGCATATATTTGGAGGTAATTAACTTGTATTTGCATATGTATATGTGTTTGTTTTTCCTCAGTCACGGGGAAAGAACACCCATCCTTTAGACTTGACTTGCTGCTGTGGTTCCCTGAAACAGCCTCTGGCTGCTTCATTCCAAGTAACAGCAGAACAAAAAGATGTGGATGCCCTCGTTCTGTGCATGCACACGCTGGTTATATACCTCCTATGACGGTGGGCAGGGGAGGAACATCAGTGGGAACTGTGACCATCACAGGGATACATCATCACGTACAGCGACTGGCACAGCGTCTGCGCGTTCTGCACGAACCCTGGCTGATACCAGATTGTTATGTTGGGACTGGGGATGGGAACAGAATTTGCCTCTTTCTTTTTACTGTTGGGGGTGGGAGGAGTGGGGGGCAGAATTCTGCAATTTGCAGAAAGATTCTAGATTCCATTAGGCTAAAGCTGCTCAGATCTATTGTTCACAATGCCCCTGTCTAGCCTCTACAGCCATGGGAGTACGCCATCCCATTCCTCAGAGGACCAGGCCACTTGCCTATCTAATTTTGTATCTTGTTGTTGGTAGTGCTTTCTCCTGATACTTCAGAGCAAACATAAAAAACCTTCAGAATTCTACTCACAAGCTGGGCATGGCTCTATATGAAGATGGGGCCTATTCCTGGTTCCCCAGTGAACAAAGCACAAATTATCATTCTCCATTTCTTTGCATATTTACTAGTAAATATATTACTGGAATACAACAATTCAGTTACTATTAAATTTAGCAAAAGTAAGTATTGTTGGCTTTCCTCCCACACCCTCTCTCAGTTTGTTGCCCCAAGAGAGCCAGGTTTTGGTTGCAGTCTGAAAATCTGACGGTATTTCTTGCCTGCTACTCACTGTCCACGGGAGAAGGAAGGATAGTTTCCTCATTATCTTAGTACCGCTTTGCCCTCTTCCTTACAGTTTACTGCAGCAAACAGATACATCCTCAGCCTAAAATAGATTTTCTTTTCTAGTAGAACTACAGGCAGCAATAGATACCCATATGTCCAGGTATTTTTATATTAAGTTACAGTTAAAAATATACATATAATATTTTCAGCTCAGCAATATGAAATTACAGAAATCTTTTGGTTGTTTTATTTTCTCCCCACTGGAACATCAAATTGGCTGGTGATACGATACTCACAGTGTAAGTCATTACAGGTCTGACGTTACAGTTGTTACACATTGCTGAATCTATCAAATGAAAAGGGAGCACAAAGGGAATTTCCAAATGCAGCTGCTATTTCCCATTTGTTAAATCCTTTTATTACACCATATAAGTACACAGCTGGGAAATACTATAGAGTGGGAGTTAAAACAAAATATTTTGGCTTCCAGACATTCAGAATACACAAAGGACTCAGTGGAAAGCAATGCCTCATATCAAAAGGGAGTGAAAGTTTGAAAACATTTCTAGCCAGTGTGGGTTTTTTTATGATAATACACAATGCCATTTAAAGGTATCTTACATTACAGAAAGTGCTGCGTACCATAAAAGTTGGGGGAAAAAAAAATCCTTTTTTTCAGTCAACTTGCCCTACTACAGCATCTTTTTTTCACTTAAGAGCTGTACAGCCCTCATAGCATGTCACGATGCATACTGTGTGCTCTCACAAATTCCAGTGAACTCCTCAGTAGTTTTAGGGGCACAAAGGATGCAGGATCATGCCCTTAATTAGGTACCTCATAAAAGAGAAATTTTTTTCCTCCCCATATGTCGACACAGCATTCTTTGACTTTACTATCTTACAAGCAGACAACACACATTATTGATGCATTTTAATGACGGCACTACTGTCTTTACTTTCAGTGTAAATGGTATGAGCAGGTGCTTCTTCAAATCTGCTTTGAAAGGATCCTTCTGGGAAAGGTCAGAGTGCTTACCTTCTGGGAGTTTGGGTTTATTAAGCAGAAAAGTGGTCACTATCACAGCACCTATCTCAAAGTTGCCCAACCCACCTTCTGGAATTTGTCTTTCTGGAAAGAAACTCCTATCCTCCCTTAAAGGAGTATGAAATTGCCTTCATCGGGAAAACTGCAGGCGCCTCTGAATTCTTTCTTAGCAGTATTGTCACCAGCTTGGAGACTGAGTTGTTTCAGAGAAACTTCATGCAATTAATTGAGGCTTAATGGTTTGCTTATGAAGGACATAAATAAGGGAGAAAATAATAATTGAAGAAAAAAATCAAACAAGTTACCCTCGATTACAGTCTCTCAAGGAAAAAAAAGTCACCACTTCACTGTTGTGATCTAACTAGTCACCTAACTCACCTAAACTGTAAACACACTGAGACCCTGCTCGGTACATTTTAGATCTCTTCTAAGTGCAACCAAACAGCATGCCTTAGAACTGCAGTTTTCACTTCTAGCCAAGCCTTGTAAATTATACTCAGCTTTGAGCTGGGCAAAAAAATCTGGTTTAGTTGAGAGCTACCTAAATAAAGGATGATGTACATCCACCACCAGATTTAACCCAAGGGAACTGTGGGAATTCCTAATGATTTTCAGGACATTCATCTACATATATGATTGAATATTTACTGAAAAAAAGGAGAGAGGAAAACCAGAGTTCTAAGTCACTCAAGCAAAGCTTATGCACCTGTTCTGAAACATGATAAGCTGGGTATTGATTCATGCCTGCCCAGAGGTACTGCAAGCATTGACGTGACAGGGTAGCATTAAAGAAAGAAAACAGAGATTGCACTGTGCTGCTGAAAGTGCAAAACCACTTCAGAGCAATACAAATGAGTACAACTGATCGTACTGCAAGGGGTTCTATCCTTTTGGCTCAAGCATTACTCCAGGTCTAAGGAACAGCCTGAATCAAAACCAAATGCTTTGAGGGACTCCGAGAGGCTAGGAGGAGTTCCCTTCTCTCTGGGACACAGAGTCATTTTATCAATGTTATTGGTGTCCTGAGACTGAAATTCCCAGAGTGCACATCTCTCTGAATGAATAAGAAAGTAGCTGATGAATTCACAGATTTATTTTTTCCATGAACAAACTTGATCAATCCTTTCTAGTCTGCATCCAGCTTGCCCTCCTGATAACACAGAAGTTAAGAGTATTCTGATGTGCTTATCACATGACTGGGCAAAAGAGTGACTCTCCATACAAAATTATGTTCCATCTGAGAACTCTGCATAGAAGCCATACATACAACTTACAACCTACCTTGCCAAATTACTAATCTATAATAATTTTCCTTTAAAGCCATTTTTACAGTTGAAATTTTGCCTTCTTCATAACAGTTGTCCAAATAATTAGGAATATTCTAGGCCTGACAGAAATTTCTGCACTGGGTTAAATCGTGCATTGCAGATTAGGTAGCATTTTTCTGGTTTGGTTTGATCTTTCGAATCCATTGGATTTTAGAAAAAAAAAACTCCACTATATTAACAAAATAGATATTATTGTAGTGCTATTATTTAATTAATTTGAGGCATCACATATGAATCAATTGGATTTTAGAAAAAAAAACACTCCACTATATTAATGAAATAGATATTATTTATTGTAGTGGTATTATTTAATTAATTTGAGGCATCACATATGCCTGAAGAATTCCAGTATCTATGTTGATTAATGCATTAGAATTATTTCTAGTCAAATTTGAAGTAAGTTTATTATTGTTAGTGCTGTCAAAAAAAACTCTACAATAGTTTTTAACCTGATTGAAAGTTGCTGATTAGCACAGAAAAAAATAAAGACTTGCTGAAAAAAATCCACTCACAGACATTTAATAAGAATACAGAAGAAACTTCAGGAAAAGGCAGGGTATTCTTTTTAAACTAACTGTGTGTAGATATTTAACAAGAATACAGAAGAAACTTCAGGAAAAACGCAGGGTATTCTTTTTAAACTAACTGTGTGAATTTAATGTATGTGAAAGTCACTTTACAGAGAGTCTGAAATTACGATGTTCCAAATTTACAGAACACCTGGCTGCTCCACGTACTTTAATTCTGTTCCTCAGGAACACATGCAAGGAAAATAAATTGACTACATGGTATGTCCATTCAGTCTTCATTCAGTCTGCCCATTTATTGCAGAGTTTTTGGGATGCAGAGACAGAATTACAACTGCAAATAATTTTATCCAGGCTACTGAAGAAAATACAGAAAACAATTCTGATCATTGCTAACATCACCTATATACAAACTGGTGATCTAGAGCAGAAGAGCGTGAGGTAGTTACTCATAAACACCTTTTCACTCCACAAAAAGTTGTAATTTCCTATAAATACAGCAGGATGTTTGTGTCACCTAAAGTGCCAGCTCCTCTGTTGTGGTGTAAAGTTATACTATTCTAGATTTGGTGGGTTCTATTTCTGAGAGACAAGTAAAAAAATACATTAAAGTTTCCTCCTTCAGCACAACACTTTGCAGATGACAAACAGTTGTGAGCTACATCCTCCTGTCAGAAATTAATGCTTGAATATATGAGCTAGAGAGATTATGACATAAATCAAGGCATGAATGAAAACATGATAAATAGATGCATTTCCTTTCCGAAGGTGAACTCATCAAATGATCTCATTCATAGAGACCTGTATACTTAAGATTATACAATCGTAATTTACAATTACACCATATTGATGTTGATCTACTACTAACACCAACACTTTAACATTTAAAAAGCTTTACGCCTATGAAGGATTGTATGAATGCGTCTTTCAAAATGGAAATGAACAACCTTGTACAGTACTAATTGAGAAAGCCCCTATGAGAAGCGTGAAACTCACCATTCTGTGTTGGGCTGAGATGACTCCATCCCACTCAGGATCTTGCTGAATGGTTGTGACCAGAGTTGGTAGCTCCTCAGAGTGAGGTTTGTTGTGCATTACACTATGTAGAGGCAGATGAGAGGTCGCATGCTGATCACTGTTGCCCTCTTCCTTGTCTCGTGATGCTAAGTCCTGGGTCATTGTTTCCTCTCCATCAGCTGCACATGCAAATGGAGAGGTAGCCTGCTTGGAAGACATTCTTCTACAAAACAAGAAAAGCAGACAAAAAGAAAACATGGGTGTTAAATGAAAAAAATCAAGCTCAAAAGAGTTCTCTAAACACATCACACTTGCCTACAACTGTTAAAAAGTAATCATACACAGGTAACAAAAGAAATCCAGAAAGTATGGGTTTGGTGAATCCGGATCCTAAACACTGAGTTCAAGTATTCATTGATGCCAAGTCAAGGTCAGGGTTAAGTTATATGATGTCATTCTATTCATTTAGACTTGTCAAACAATAGAATTCTCTCCAGACATAAGAAAATAGTGATTTTATTGGTATTTTCATGTTGATTTTGCATAAAAGTTGAAGTCTTTAAACTCTTGCTCCCATGAGCAATCTGAAGGTTGTAAGCAAACATTTAAGTGGGAGAGTCCATCCTTCTTTCCTAACCTCATTCCTTGCAAGCAGAATATGTTTTCTACACAGATGAGAATTTTAAAATCCATTTCAAATTCTGCTAAGTAGGTCCTTTTGCTGCTTGTTTAAAGCAGTATCTGCTCTTAACCCTGTTTAAAATTTTACCCAGTTTTAGCTTTTGGAAAGTGTTTTGAGATGTTCATATGAAAAGTGCTTTAAAACGGAACGGTTTATGAAAGGGGTGGATAGTGTCCGAGTAACCTTTTACAGTTGGAACTAAAAGTCTAAAATAATTATGTTTCATTTCACATCAGACGTCGAGTACAGGATATAGCTCAACAAATTACTTTAAATGACTTAAAACTGTAATGAATAAATGCATTGACTTATGTTAATTTTTTTTCCTAATAATGGCCTCTTACTACCATCTCGTATGCAAACACAGCTTTCACCACAGTTTCTGCACTTAGATGAAAATATAACTGACTTCAAGTCAAAATCTGAAAACACTTTGTTTAAAATTTCTAGTAAGATTAAGTGCAACTGTTAAAACAATCATTAATAAACCCGAAGGAAGACAGCTAAAATATATTAGCTATTTTCCTAGGTTTTAGTAACTTCAGACTATCCTTGACACGAAATGCTGAGAAACTAAGGAATAAGATCTTCACCTTAATTGCTTTCTAACAATAATTGATTTCATACCATTTCTTTAAAAATGCACAAATCAGTTAACATAGGAAACCACATGAGCATTTTTCAAATTAGCAAATCATTAACTTGCTAGTACTGTTTCTACAGACAAATAAATACTGATTAAAGGGTCTGGAAATCTGAGACTAATAGTTAAATTTACAAATCTGTCACATGCTTTCATGAATATTACAGTGAAGGAAATATCAAGTGCAAAGAAAAATAATTAAGTTAATTCCAATTTAAACAGGAGTTTTTATGTAGCAGCCTGTGTTTCACATAGGATTTAACAGCTAATGCTAAATTTCTCACAATTAATGAGGGAGTTCAGATTTAGTATCCTACAGTGAAAAAAAAAATTAATATAGGATCAACTAATCTAATTACGTACAGTTCTATATGAAAGTATTAAAAGCTTTGAAGTGCTTTGAAACATATTAAACCACTGATACCTATTTAGAATAACTATTCTGTAAATAGAGATAATCCTGTCTCTTAAAGTCAATACTGCTGGGGAAAAAAAGGTTTGTGTTTTCTTTAGGGGAGCCTAAGTGTAAGTAGGAGTCTAATATTAATGTTGCCAACAAGCAGAACTGAGGAATTTAAACCATGTATTACATTCTTACTACTCTAAAGAATTGATGTTGATGCTACGGAGAACATTCCAAGAGTTCAGCAACCGGCATTATTGTACATACTTCAAAAGGTTCTGGTTCATAATTACTATGATGCAAGATAAAATAAAAAGGTTCACTTTCCCTTTTCTCATTAAAATAGCCACATTAATGTAATCACTCACATGAAAATACAAGTCAACGCTCTACGCAATTTGAAAAACCAGACATGAAAACTGAAAGTCACAATAAAGGATTTTCCTTTCTTTCACCTTCTCAGCAGATCTCGTTCCTATTTCAAACTGAACGAGCTCCTGTGAAAAGCAATAGCTATGGCTGTTTCTTCACCATAAATTAATCATGACACAAAACTAGAAATGAAAATGTCTCTTAAGAATAATTTCAACTACAAACTGCACCAATGAATAATAGTGCACAATCCTAATTAAACACAACTCTGCAGCTGCAAAAATAGGCTGAATCTGTCCAAAGCTACGAGTTGGCTTTAAAGGCTGGTTTGTTAGGGACTGTTTTCTTAAGGAAGGCTGGGCCCTCAGTCTTAATCAGCCAATAAATTATTTCCTGCAATTACATTAAATAGAAAATTATCTTCAAATTGGGAATGTTAATTGAAAATCAAAATTCAGACTGAAGTTTAGAAATTACATGCTGAATATAATTAGTCTAGAAAGGCTTCACCTCTATTTCATAAACAGGCTTATGGTATTTCCTCAAGTGACCATTCAGTAAAGCTATCTACTGGTAATGCACTATATATAGAGGAAACACTTTTTCTTTGCCGTATACACTAATATACTTTCCTCTTATTCAGGATGTTTTAAACACAACTAAATAAAAATTTCTATTCGTTTTCTGTTGTTTAAGCTGATTACATGGAGAAAAAGGGACTCTGTTAACCTGAAAATTAATATTATATTGACAGAGCCGCATTCACTAATAATCTCAAGCCATGCCCAGCAATATTTTTCTGTACTAGACTAAGAGAACGAACCAAGAGCGGGGTTCAAATGCTTTCTAGTTCCACCTGCCCCATCTCTCCACTGCTGCGTTATGGTCAGACATGCTTTCATACCACGCTTTACTCAGTTACCGTTAGTCCTGGAGCCTGAACAGAAAGACAAGCTCCGGCTGGCCTCCCCAGCACTTGCACTCCTCATGACATAATTTTTAGTGGTGTGTTTCACTCCTATTTTCCCCCAAACCCTTGTTAAAATGGCAAGATTTAGCGCATTACTTATGGTCAAAGGTCAGCACTTAACAGCACCTTACGAGTTTTTGGTTGGTACATTTTAAACATGGGGGTAAAAGGCACAGAGATGTAGGACCCCGCTAGACTGAGCCCTCCACCCTTTTTTCCCAGCACAGTCATCAACTCGATCAATATACTCCGTGTGTACGTGTCTGCTGAGGGTACCAGGTTAGGCACCAAATACTGATTGTGCTTGGGTCTGTAGTCAGTAAAACAGAGTAAATATAAACTCTGCAACTGGGTGTTACCCAGTCAATTACTTCAGTAAGGTTTTTACTCATTACCAGTTTGTTTTGACTTAAATGGAAGAATTCTGTACATGGAACTCCACCAGGTCGAAAGGCAGAGTTTGGCCAATAACTGCAAGATCTCACCAGATTCAAAGGGAGAAGAATCCATCCCATTTGAGTAGTTTATGTTTATGATAACATTAAACCACGTAACAGATTGTTGTGTTAAAATGTTTTAATTTTAAAATATGACAATGAATAGAAGTCAAATTTTAAGCCATGATAACTTTCCAATGTTGCATTTTAAATATCCAAAATGCATTTGCTAAAATCCCTGGCAAGGGAGGGAGGGGGGGAAAATCAATATTTGTAATAAATAAGGCTTGTAAAAGGTGTCAGAAATTTACTAATTTCCATTATAATTTATTTTTTCTGCTATTATCAATTAAATTCACTCAAATGGTTTTTAAAAAAGTTTCTGATAAAAAATATCTCCCTAGTTATAACCCCTGCAAACAGGGGTTTATAATGGAAGTGCTGACACAACCCTAACTACAGCAGCGCAAATGGTGCCGCTATAATACACAAAATCAAGTTCTATTATTCTAAACTATCCTCGCTCGGGGGGTTTTCTTTACTGTGCTCCCAGACAAACTGCTGAAGCATGAAAAATTTAAATGCAATCAAGTGGGTCCAATTCTACTTTACTAGAACAAGTGTCTACAGTGGTACAATCTTAAAAGAAGATGCAACAGATTTGTTTGGTGCTTTTCTTTCTTTTTTCTTTTTTAGCTGTTTATTTATAATACTGTGCAGTGGAGATAAAATAAGAGAGGAAATTACACTCACATTATATCAGTATATTGATTACACAGCACACAATCAGAAAGAAAACTACATTGTGAAATTGTTGCTTTGGTTAAATTGACAGATTAGCTGAACACAGCAATCAGTAAAGGTGGAAAATATACCTAATGGGTATGAAAAAAAAGTTGAAAAAGGCCCTAATTATCTGAAGTCCTACCACCTACTCAAGTATTAAACCAATCTTGATTTGGATTTTCCAAAACTAGAATAGAGTCTATCTCATTTTGAGCTCAAGACTGAAAAAGAATGGGATCATCTATCAAAACTTCAGCAAAGCTGGGGAATTAGACCCCAATTTCAGTTGGCCTTGATACTGAGGTAGTAAAGCTAAAATTGAACTGCCAAGGGATTTTTACCCATGTAAAACTAAACATAGCTCCAAAGAGCTCCATCCTCTATATAACTGACATGATTTTTTATTTTAATCCAGAGAAGAAATTGTCTCTGCTCTAATGAAGACTACCAGTCAGATTCTCAAAACATCAGTTTTCCTTTTTTCCTGCAGACAGTGTGTGTTATACCTTTCTAAATACAAATAACAATGCTTTTTTCTTTTTGTTGAAGGATTTTCTATGCTCTCAAATTCTTCAAACAATTCGTATCTTCTTTTTCGAAACAATTAGATTATACTCCTGACATGAAAGGTTTCCAAAGCCTAGAACCTTCCATCCCTGCTGACTGCTCAGATGATTAAATGTTACAGTGGAAATTATGGCTAGACCTGGAGTTCTAGCTGCTAGACGTTTCAGAATCAAGGCACAAAGTATTAACACAGATAACAACAATGTGACAGCCCAGACACTATTTCAAAAACGTACAAGCTAAGCAACAGCAACATGATATATAACAAAGCAGACTTGTAGTTGGCTGGAGACTCTAACTTCTGCTCTGCTCCACCCTCACAAGGCGTTCATAAACCTAAAGGCATGTCCACACCGCAGCCAC